CGTGGGGGCGGGGGGCCGGGGGAGAGGCCGTCGCGCACAGCTCCCACACGGGCGCACGTAACCGCACGGACGGACAGGTGCCCCCAGGGACAGCGACACGGGCACAGTCTCCGGTTCCACGTCCTTCCAGGCTGCCCCCCAGGCATGACCAGCAGGGAAGGAAAACGCCCACACACAGACCCGAGTCGCAGCTCCGCAGGCAGATGCTTCCAGTGTCGTTTGGAATCGAGGCATCTGTTTGGGTTTTCAAACCCAACCACGTGAAGGCACCGCCCCGTGCTCACACCCCCGGGGACAGAGGGAGAAGGGGGACAGTTCTCGGGGATCCTTCATTCCAATGTCGAGTCGCTGCCTCACGGTGTCCACTCCCTCGTAAGTCTGCACCCGTGTTCCAGCACAGGACCCTCACAGAAACATTCGTGAGCAATGAGAACGCTCGCTGAGCACAGACGCCTGCAAACTCTAGAACGAGCCCTCAGAGGCCAGGCGGGCGGGAGGCGCGAACAGGAACACAGACGTGATCGACAACGGTTTTCACGTGAAGGAACCACTGGGCGTCCAGGATAAACGCCTTGCGTGTAGGAAGGGGCGAGTCGCGGTCGTAACTTCAGACTCGGTCATGTCGGCAGGGCACAGGCCTCGCTGGGCACGCCCCGCGGTGCCGTGGCTGAGTCGCCGTGGCTGAGTCGCTGTGGGTGGCGGGCGGAGGAGGCGGGGCTGGGGGTGAGCAGGGACTGTCCCCCGGGCCTGGCACGGTGGCCCTCACCGCCCAGTGCCCACGGCGGGCACCGGGAGGTGCGGTGCGGCCGCTGTCCCCTGTGGCAGCGGCCAACCTTGTAAACATCTGGGCAAAGATGGCTGACACCATGAGTCTCCGATTCCTTTCAAAAGGCAGCATTTAATATATAAAAATGGGGCAAATTAAGAGGTTAATATATTAAACAGTTAATTTATAAACATTTAACATCATAGATATCTTACAAAACAGCTCTGTGATAATAACGAGGATTTCCCTGCAAACAGTAAACACGAAGGAAACGGTACAAAAGCGTTTGTGAGCTTGTGAGCCGGGGGGACGGAGGGGGGGACGGGGGGACGACACCAAGTCTCAGACCTGGAATCGCGTGGCTTCAAACAAAATATTCCTCACAAAACGCGACATACAAATAGTCTTAACACTGAAATATAAAAAATTGAAAATGTCAATCACTCCTATCTTAAGGCCATTGTTTCACATTGCTGAAGGTTTGCGGCGTGCTGTTTATGGAGCCGAGGATGCGGGGCTGACGCATCGCATCCGGGCTGCGGGCGGCGTTCTCCGTGTCCTTCGGCGCGCTCGGCGCCACGGCCGCCACGCCCGGGGCTCGTGCGCCACGTGGGAGGCTGGCTTGCTGCAGACGTGGGAGGGCTGGCTCCAGGGACGAAGGGCTCGTGGGCTACAGTTGCTATGACAATGTTGTTGCTAGGATAATTCCAAGGATCACAAGCAAAATAATTACACAAATAACAACGCACATCATTTTCTGCAAGATAAAGAAAAACAGTAATTAATCTGCGAGGCATCGAAGGAAAGAAGTCACTGGTGTCATTTCCTAACAAGCTTCTCCTGGGACTCGAGAGTTTAAAATACAAGTCTGTGCCCTGACCAGTGTGGCTCAGTGGATGGAGCGTCGGCCTGCGGACTCAAGGGTCCCGGGCTCGATTCCGGTCAAGGGCATGGACCTTGGTTGCGGGTGCATCCCCGGTGGGGGGCGTGCAGGGGCAGTTGATCGATGTTTCTAGCTCTCTATCCCTCTCCCTTCTTCTCTGTAAAAGACTCGGTTGCAGACTCGATCCCTGTGCAGGAAGCAACCAATCAATGTGTCTCTCTCACATCGATGTGTGTGTGTCTCTCTGTCTCTCCCCCTTCCTTCCACTCTCTCTAAAAATCAATGGAAAACTATCCTCCGGCGAGGATTAACAAAAATAAGAAAAATGTATTCTAGTGGCAGTCTTTAAAAAGAGGAGGAGGAGGAGGAGGAGGGGGAGGCGGCCTGGGCCTGGAGACGCTCAGGGCCACGGCGAGGCGCTGGGAGGTCAGTGAGCCGCCAGCTCGGTGAGTGGGGGAGCAGGCAGAGCGGCGGGAAGGTTAGCGGTTAGTGGTTACTTACTGCCGCGCCGGCAGAGGCATGCACCCTGGCGTGACCCGCAGCCTCACTTGCCAACCGATAAGCCAATGATCAGAGCCACGACGGCCACCAGCACCACCGCCACGGCCACCAGGATCCACTTTTTCTGCCAAAGGAAAGCGAGCTGGTCACACCGGGTCAGCCCTGTGGCCGTGCCAGGAGGCGGCCTCGTGTAAACCTCCACCATCTGGACTCCTGGTGGGCCGGGCACGGGGGGGGCCTGGGACCCGTCGCCAAGGGACCCTCAGTTCTGGGACAGCGTGATGTTTACTGGACGGCCAGGGCTCACGCGTGAGGGGGAGAGACTGTCGGGGAACCTGGAGCCCGGGGCTCATCGGGGAGGCCTGCCTGGGGCGTCGCTCTGCTCCGTGCTGAGGGCCCGGCTCTTCCCCCGCGGGCCCTGCAGCCGCCCCGCCCACCAAGACGGCGGTTCTGTGCGCAAAGCCCCCACAGCCACCCCGT